AGTTCATCACTGCTAAATTCAGACAATGCATAACTAAAGATACAGATTTCAAAAATATAGGAATACCTATTTCACAAGCATAAGCCTTAATTTACACTGTCAAGTTTTTATATGAAAGATATTAGAACTTCACTTCATTGGCAGTCACTTGTCCTTGTCTGAAAGATGCTCAGCTTTACTTTGTTCAGCCTATGAAAAATGCTTCACCTTGAAAGAGAAAGTCAACTGCCATTCCAGATAATTAATTCAGTCCCCTACTTATCCACCCCACCTTCAATATCTTCAATGGAAGGGTTCAGGATGGTAAAGAGCAAACAAACAAACCCAAGTAAGTCTAGAATCTCATTTATGCATCTCCTGAAGAGCACAAAAAAGGGAAAATATTATGAAAAAGATGACCCTATTAACTTTACACTGAAAAACAAATCACTCTACAAACCCTAAGTAAAAGCCATAATCTCTGTTATACATTGAACAAAGCATTGAAAACCTAGTTCAAGTTTTTAAGAAAACTTTCTCTAGTTTGCAGACTCTCTCAAAAGTATTGCACATAGATTTAAACTTCGAGGTAGCAGTTTGAAATTAAAGCAATGTGGCAATGTTCAGAATCAGAGAATAAGCTTAACTTTTCTCAATTTAAGATAAATTCCAAGCTCAATGTAAGATAAATTCCAAGAATATACAAGCAAGCTTGACCATCTTCAAATACAAACCAAAATCCTGGAAATATACCTGCAGGTACTTGTGAAAAGCGAAGACACTTTAAAAACCAGAGGAGAAACTACTATTAATTCATTTAACTGTTATTTTCTTTAGCATAAACCATGTGCCATGTATAATCCAGCAGCCATCCTTAAAAATTGTTCACAGCACTGTGCTTTAGGTTTCTAAAGTTATATCTCAAGTCTGTTTAGAGTCTTGTACGCTTTTCAAATAAAGACGCCAGCTATTTGTTATCATACTCAGTATGTTTGTCTGCTTGCCCTAAACACAGGCAGCAGTTTCTCTTTTCATTTTATTGCTGTTTTGAAAGAACCATTTTCACTCATCTGCAAATGATTCCATTTCTTTTCACCAGCCTTGATGTTTATCAATAAAAAGCATATATTTTTTCAATTACTCTGGTGGACAAGTAGAAGATTTCCTGGTAAATAAGGCATGGCCCAGGGTAGGCAAACCTTTGCTCATGTGAATAGATATAAGGGTCAAGAGGGCACCTCCTTGCATGAATAGCTCCTTTATCATTAAAGCTGATGTTTCACAGCCAGGATGGAGCAATAAAGAGTAAAAGTAAGGAACTGGAGAAGAGGGAAGTGACTGAATGACCTTACATTTGATTCAGTTTTCCAAACTCCCTCCAACAGCAGGGTAGATAAAGGTGTCATCACTGGATGCCTGCTTTGCTGCCCTTCCTAAAGGGTCCCAGGACTTGGGGACACTGAAACAAGTGGCAATGACACGCCATAGAACTGTATGAACAGACAAAGCTGTTACACTACATTAAGATCCTACAATGATGAAAAATATGATACAGTGATATTAATACCAACAATGTTAATTTCTGCACACATTCCAAAGAATTATGAGACATTTCTCTTCCAAAATAATTGTACAAAGAGATAGGAGATTACACAGCTCCTCGTGTCAATACGCAGTTGTGGCTGAGGGCCTTTGGAGGTTTAAATAATGTGAATAATGTGGCACCTCAGCTACATTTAAATCTAAGCAATCGGCTCTACCCAGAAGAACATGGACCAGCAGAAATCAGCCTATACACTGCCCAGGGTGAGTCACCTTTAAAATCAGGGTCTATATAATGTTACTCTGAGAAGTGTTTAAGTACTTTACCTCTTACAGTTATGATAAATAGTATGGTATTCTCAAAATCAAAAGCAAATGGATTCTTCACACAAGAGACTCCTAAAAGTTGCTTTTAAGCAAGTTTATTTTTAGGCATTTCTCAGGATGGAGGGAAAAGGCTTTATTTTTAGCATATCATATACAATACTCAGCTTGTAAATTTCTGCAAGTGTGTTAAACACATTTCAAGAAACATTTATTGTGGTGTATTTCTACTGTAATACATTGTGAAATTTTAATTACAGAATATAAACCTTAGACAGTATTTGACCAAATACAGCCCACTTAATAATCAAACTGTTGGTACAGAGATGCTGATCTGTGAGCTGAGAATCTGTGCTGATAACCTACTTGTCTTTTTAAGTGCTCAAGATAAATGCTACAGATCTGGCTTTGTAGTCATGCCACAGTTTCCATTGCACTTTCAGCTAGCAATAGGCTCATTAACACATGAGTTAACCTGGGTGGGGAACAAGGGCAGCAGAGAGACAGGTCTCTGAATAAGTCAGTCCTTGCCACCTTTCAGGCTGCTTCTGGAAATAAAATCGGTATTGTTAGTTCAACTTGAACATTTCTTGGCATCCCTTCATTTTACAAACACCCATTTAAAATTCTACAGTTGGTGATATTTGCTGAAGAACTTTATCCAGTATGTTTTAAATTGAGGTCTTAAATAGAATATCAGAGAAGTAACACCAAAGCTCAACATGGCTCTGTAAAGTCATGAGTATCAGTGGGGACCAAAAACAGAGTGGAAGAAAAGGCTTCAAGATGAAATCACCTATTGAAAAAAGAGACAACAGCAGAAAAATGAGTTAAACCACGCAAAATCCCAAGAACAAGTTTAGAGAGTCCCTCTTCCCCAGAGGAAGAGGCTCAGAGGAACAAGATAGAAGTTGGGATGAGGATGGGTGCAGAGGTGTTAAAAGCCCATTTTTCAAATCAACGACTTCTGGTTGAGAATAGAGGTTTAACAGGAGAAAAGGATGATCAGGATTTGTGAAAGAGATGCTAGCAATGCTTAAAAGATTCAGCAGAACCCAACAGAAGCAGTGGCTAAGAAAGGACAACTACAAAGACTATTTCTGACATACTTTACAGCTTACTCAGGACAGAATCCTGATGTCCTTACATAATTCCCCCCACCATCAGTTAGCCTCAGCTAAGTTAGATTTCACCCTGTCATTGTCCTCTGTCAGATATGACACACTCCCCTCTTTCCCATCACTTCTTACATAGAAGTTGAATACAAACAGGCACAAAACTACAAGCCTAAAGACAGCAGGCAGTAAGGTTTGCAGTTACCAATAAGAATGAAACAAAGGCATTTACATTTGAGCTAACCTGAGCTGAGGATGACAACAGAATATCTATGTGGGATCATCAGTCTAGCAAGACTAGGCATAAAAAGTAGGACAGGATTGGAAGAAGTGACGAGGGAAACTATCAGCAGGGGCTAATGCATTGAAGAGGAAAGGCCCTCCACATTTTTTCATTATCATCTTGTATTTTAAGAAAAAATAAAAACCCAAAGCCAAAAAAAACCCCAACTTTCTGCCACTTCACGATTCATATGTATCACAGGAAAAAAACAATAAACATAGAACCCCATAATTATTCCCTCATACCAACATAATTTTCATAATAAAATAAGGAAGAATGTAGATTCTACATATTGTCTGCAGCAAGTTAAGTGTGCCAGGCACATCCCAATCCAAACAATGCTTTTTTCCCTTGAGGTCATTAAAACAGGTTTGGGATATTATCTAGAGTCATTAAAACTCCAGAACAGCAAAAACATATGCCAAACACATAGCATGTCTTTCATTTTCCAACATCTCTTTATAGTTTCATGCCTCTATCCACCTGTTCCACTAAATACCACAGGCACTTAACAAGGCACTAAGATGGGAACAGTAAGGACACTGCCACCGGAAAGCTTTGCTAACTGAAGCAGACAATAGGAAGCCACCAACCGAAGAAAGGGAACTTTAACCACAAACTTTTAGGATAAAGAATCTATACTCTTACACGATTGCACAGTATCTATTACACCAAGAAAAATAATGAGCCACTTTGCCACATTCTTCTGTATTTAAGCATTTTAACAGACTTCTAGTGAATTTGAAAATATATTTTTTTTTAAAACCCAAACATAATGAACAGAAAATATACTCGGTATAAACATTTCTAAAATAAAAGTCCCAAATGGCTCACTCTCACCACAGGAGCCCCATATATCTGGGCAGTCTGTGTTTCATAGTTCACTACTGCTTACCACAACATTTTAGCGGATTCCACATCCACAAGAAAGCACTAAGTTTATATTGCTCTCGGATTTAATACACGAATTAAGACTTAGCTTTGAAGAGCAATCTGCCAGATAAGCGAGATAGGACGATTATCAGCTCCTTATGTCTTGGAAAAAAGTCCGTCTCCTAGAGTATAACAGCGCAAGAGTTGCGAGCATCCCTCCGTGAGAGCCGTGCACCATTTCCCCCAGTTACCCCGACTGACCTGCGGGAACCCCAGGCATCTCTCCAGCATTTAGTAAGGAAAGAAATAAAAAAAAGAGAAAGAGAAGAAAATCAGAGGATCGAGAGGATGGAGACACTTGGCTTCACTTTCCCTTCCTCTTAACACAACATCCATTGCGGCAGAAGAAGCCACCCTGGGTGCTAAAACAAGAGCCGCATTCACGGGCGCTGGGTTGAACAGCGGGCGGGAGCACACTCCGGGAGGCACCTCTGGGCCGCCCAGCTGAAAATCAGCCCCCAGCTTCTTTAGGACTCAGAGGGAAAGAGAAGGCAATGCGGCCCTATTTAAAGGCTCCGTCGTTAACCAGTTAGGAAAGATTAAGAGGTTTCCCAACGCTCCCGCTCGAGCACCGTGCTTTGTGAAGGCACAGACACGGTCGGGCTGTGCCGTGTCCCGGCTGGTTCCTCAGCCCGCCCAGCCGCCCACGGGTGCGGGGTTTTCCGCTCCAGGGCGCCCGGCAGCACCTGCTGCCGCCGCCGGCACCCCCCGGCTCCAGCCCCGGTCCCCACCCCGGCGGCGCTCGCCGTACCTGCAGGATCCTGTCCAGACCCTCTTGGCCCAGGCAAGGGAACTGCTTGAGCAGCTCCGTCTTCTGCCGCTTATAGTTGTCGGTAGCCGAGCGCCAGTGGGGCTCCTCCAGCACCTCGAAGATCGCCGCCCCAATGGACAGGTAGAAGATGATGGCCGAGGTCAGCAAGGGGCCCCTGTCCACCATGGTGCTGGCAGCAGTTAAGGAGGGCGGGCGGAGCGCGGCGGGTGGGCGAGCCGGAGCGGGTGCCCCGCGCGGCGGCCGTAGGTGCCCAAAGCCGCCCTGTCCTTCCCCTGACACCTCTGCCTACCCTGGCCGTCCACCGTACCTCCTTGCCCAGCTTCTGCCGCGTTCCCTTACAGTCTTCCACACTCCTCTTCCACACTCCCCTCCCACTCTCTCCTCCTCCCTCCTCCGCTCCGCTCCACTCCCCCCGGGCTGTCTCCTTCCCCTTGTGCTCTGCCCTCCCTCCAGAGCAGCGATTTGAATCTGGTGCTCTCCCGCTTCCTCTCTTACCCCCCCTCCCTCCCAGCCCCCGCCCGCGCATGCGGCGCTGCCGCCGGGGCGCGCCGGGACCCGCGGCCCGGCCAGCGGCGGGCGGTCTCCGCGGCCCGGGAGGGCGGCGGAGGGCTCCGGCCACCGCCAGCCCCCGAGGGGCCGCCTGGGGGAAGGGGAGCGGAGCCGCCACCTCCGTTCTTCCCGCCCTGCCTGCCGGGAGCCGGTGTGCGGCCGAGAGGCAGCCCGGCCCTGGCCTCTTCCCCCTGAGTGCAGTCGGTCCCTGCGCCCGCAGCCGTCCGTGTGTTCCTCTCTGTTTTTTTCCCCAGAGTCAGGATAAGAAGGGGTAACGTTGCTCAGTTTTATTTTACTTGTTCTCTCGTGCCGCGAGGTTCAGCGGAATTCCTCGTTTTCGACGCCGGGAGGCTGTGAAACGAGGTCTGTGGCTTTCCTGGATGCATGGAAGCGTGGAGAGAAGCTGAGCAGGAGCTTTGAGGAGGAAATACGTCCGTCCGCAGATTGCACCCCTTCCCTGAGACATCTGTAATGCCTCACACGTGGGCATTATAGATGTCCATTTCTTTCCTGCTTTTGGTACCCTCAATAAATAACGCTATGTCCCTGTCTGTGTATTTGGGAGGGAGGGGGAAACACTGGATAGTGGTTTTCCATCAGATGCTCAAAACATCTTCCAGGCTGAAGCTCCCTTGAAGCTTAACCCTGTTTGTGAAGCCTTCCCCAGAAGCCGCTTACAACCGCGCACAAGCCCTTGCCCCTCCGTGTTCGAATGGAGCTGGAAATGGGGTTAAATGGGTCAGGGAGACATACAGTGATGATGTGTTATGCACACTGGCAAAGTGCTTCTGGTGTGGACAGGGTTCATCTTACAAACATTATTTTTGTAAGGGTAACTTGTTTTCTTTCTCCTTCAGCCCCCGCAACAGGAAGTAAACACTCAAAAAGTGGAGTAGTTCATATCAGTTGCATCAACACTAAGAGATTTGGGGTGTATGTTACTCAGTTGGAGTACACAGACTAAAAGGCTGAGATAAGGCTGTGCAGACGTAGTTGAAATGGGAAGAGGGGGAATGGAGGAGAATAGGAAAGGCAAAGAAGAGAGGTAGAAAATATGCAAGAGAGTATGAGAAAATAAAAAGGAGTGCACATATACGGCAGAGGACCATGCATTGGTTAGAAGATATACGGAGATACGTATATAAAACTGAATCAGGCCCAATGGATGTTCCTGTGATATTGCCCCCAGGAAATCACATGGTCCTTAAGTAGTCCTTCCGACTAGTGTATACATCTGCAAGAGGTTCCTAGCAGCCTAAAAGCAGGACTGGAGAAACCGCAAAATCCACAAGCACATTAAGTGATCAATCTTTGCATGGGATTTTCTAGTTATTTGAAGGAAGCATTAAAAAGGAAAAAGGATTTTCAAACTGCAGTAGTTTAAAAAATAATTTATATATACTGGAGGAAATAGCATGAAAAAAGCATCATAATAAACATTTTTTAAAGTGTAATAAACTATGCTAATTTTTTATTAAGGGAAAAATGGGGGATGCTTCATGAAGTTGAAAGGCTGTAATGTCCTTTTAATTAAAAGGAAAATAAGAATTTAATGATGCACATTTACCTCATTAAAATTATTCCCAGATGTTATCACTTGGCCCAAGACCTTTGCAAAACTTGAAAAGCCATTGGCACAAATTAATAATGTGAGTATCTGTCATTGTCTCACTTGCTGATTTAAATGTAAAGTTTAAAATAGTATGTAAGTACTTCTGGCAAGTGACTGAAAGAATTGAAGAACTTTCAGTAGGCAGATTATGATACAATTTTCCTTTTGGTGCTCTTGCACCTTCTGAGTCACCTGCAAGTGGTTAGGTTATTCTGACAGGAGCAGCAGTAGCCTGACACATTACAGCAATGCTGCACTTATGTGTTCCTGACCCTGAACATCTGTGCTTCATAACTGGAAGGTATTTGATTAAATTTTGAAACTGTATTCTTCTCCATATGTCTTTAAGTCTCTAAACACCCATTTATTCATTGAAACAGTATCTTACAGGCACAAGGAATGACACAAATGACCCTGAACCCACTGAAGTTACAGAGCACAGATAAGAGCAAAAACACGTTCAGGCATTTTACAGAAAGTTTGTGATTTTGATTCAACAATTCTACTTTCCAGTCTAAACTGCCAATCACTGATTGCATAAGTAGTACTCTCAGTAACTGAGTCAGTCCGTATTTAAAAACAAACAAGCCTGTAAGTCACATACCATTTTTCCCTGTGTTGAAATGCTGTTGCACGTGTTAGACTGTCTCCTTGTGTTTCTCTGGGTTTTAAAGATGTGAACCTGGTAAGGAGCAACATCCAGAAGAATAGTTTATTCCCCAAGGAACCATAACCAGCTACTCCTGCAAGTAGAGGTGATCTGCTGAGTATCAACAAACTTCAGGCACTTAGATATTTCACTTTGATTCCATTGTCTTTTGCAGAACAAATTACAAGGTATACTTTCACATTGCTGGCCAAGTAGTGTGGCAAGAAGGAATGTTTTGTGTAGCTGGCCTCTCTTTGCACCTCCTGATCTAAAATGCTTCTCCTGACCTCAGAAAATATATTATATCCTTTTATTCATGGCCCTTTTCTCCTCTTTGTTTCCCTTGGATTAAACAGTACCCCTATTGTCAGCCCACAGCACCTGCCACATAGGCCCCACAGCTTTTCATGCTAGCTAAGTTAATAAAAAGGCTGAGGTTATTCACTCACAGGCTTTTAAACCTCATTTAAAAATCAAGGGAGAAACAGCAGAAAGCACTGTGGTGAGTAATACTACAAGTATCAATCATTTGCATTATTTGCATAGGACATTATTTCAGGCTGTCCAGTCCAAAAGAAAATCTCTTTCATCCAAGCTGTATGTCTAAGACACATTTGCTGTACAGATGTTTCCTAAGACAGCCTGGAATTAATGGATAAATGTCAGAAAATGTTTGGGATAGAGCAAGTAAGAGACATTATTTGGGCAAATGAAACCTGTCATGTAGTGGCAAAGACTGCATGTTATACTGGGTATGAACTATGGGTCTCTCTTCAAGCCTCTGCCATTTTTCACTTAGAAGCCTATTTTTGGCTTGTGGATGACTGCTCTCAATGCCTGTCAACTCTGCATCTTTCATTTATTCTTTAACTGTTGAAATTTACACACCTCCAGTGCTGCCTTGAAGTGTTATGCATCCAGCCACAGATGGTTTAACTAAGTTGAGGGGTGCCCTGTCGTGACTATCATGAGCAGTTTTGCTTCTTTGATGCAGTCCAATGCACACAGAAAGGGTAAGGGTGGTCTGCAGATGATGCAGAATTTTATATGAGGCATTTGTGAAAAGTTAAAAAATTCTCCATGGGATTGTTCATACCTTTTGGCTTAAGTATTTACAAAAGCACATTTTATGCTCTGAATGTATAGTAACACATAGTAAATCATAATAAAAATAATAAAAACCTTTTCCAAAACAACCTGCATACCACTGCAACAGACTTCTTTACCCCTGGAGAGATAATGAGTGAAGAAACATCACATGACAGATGTTAGTTATGCTGCTTAATGAATAACTGGTGATGAGTACAATACCTGTGTGGAATGGCTGTAATATGTTCAAGGAAAAATATGCATCTGGATCACCTGTTTTTCACTGAGATACCTGCAGTGCTCTAAAGAAATGCCTTCATCGGGAAGAAGCCTAGGTATTTCAACAGTTTTTCTGCATCTGTTTCCTTGACTGCCTTGTTCCTCAGCCATCCATAGCAGTCACTGGATGATTAAATATTTTTTCTTCAAAATATTTTTAAAATAAATACCCTGGCCTTCTCTTTCTGTTCCACCATGACCTAATTGGTAGTGCCAGAAGCTTTATAGCAGTCCTTCATGCTGACATTCATGTCAGTGATCTAAGAATTTCAGAATACAGCTCTGCAAAAGAAGACCGACTTGTACAATGTCAGTCCTGGAGTGGCTTTTACCACCATGATACCCAGAGGACATTACTCTTCTAGATAATATGCTCAAGGATAGCTGAGCACCATGGTAACAGAGTCAGTGAATATGCAACAATCTGTTATTTTGTTAGATAAAACATCACTGTCAAGTCTTATTTTTGGGTCATTAAGAAGGAATTAAATTTTATTTGTGTATAGTAATATGGATGAATGTTTGCCTGCTGTCCTGAGACTTGTTTCCCAAACCAGTTTAATTTAACTTTTATCAATCTGGTGTCATGTAGTGCATGCCTTCCTTAGTGTTACTGCCTGAATGTGGCAGTGCTGGATTAAGGGGGGGATTCAAGGAGCAGTTAGCCTTCACCATCTCTCACCTGGGTTGCACAGCTGTGTGTCTTATGTGCCAGGTTGTGCAATGAAGGGTCTTGTATGTGACTGAGCAGCTCCCAGATTCAAACTGGGCTCCCTTCCATGCCTGGTGTGTAGCACTCACATTTTGTTAGTCAACATGCCAGAAGAGCTGTTCCCATCTAACTCTTCCCTTTATAGAAAAAAAGTCTTCACATTAATTTTGGCAGAAGGAAAGCAGAGAGAAGGTTGATGGCTTTTTTTCCCCTCTTGGGTGAATAAAAAGCCTCATGCATAACAAATGAAGACAGCTATACATCAAAAAAACATTGAAAAGGATCATATTTTTTTCATCTGTTCTCCAGTTCCAAACCCTGTAGCAACAGCTTGTGAGGTTAGATTGGGTCTTGTCTAGGGAAAGAAAAGATTGAGTAAGTAAGTGAAAAAGTTGGCTACATGCAGTTAAAGGGGTATGGATTTTTAAGATTTTTGTTTTCTATGGACATGAGTCACTTTTGTGCTTGGTGTCCTGGAATGAAAGAAGGGTCATTGACCATACAGTCTCTGTGCATGTGCCTCTGCCTTATGTTTAAAGGGGCTTTGGAATAAGACAAGAGTTCCTGGCATAGTCAATCTCCACAGCCCCTTAGCCTGTCACATGGTTCTTTGTGATCCCTCTCCATCACATGTGGTATTGGGAAAGAAGACAGCAAAGGCTGAGCACTAACTTTCACAGCTGTCCTGTAAGTGAAGGGCTTGCAAAGCTGTTAGTGGCTTTTAACTTAAGCTTTGTACCCTCCTAGACCATCATCAGGAGAGGTGTTAAGAGAGTTTGGAGGAACTTGGATTTCAGTGTTAATGCCTTCCAGTGGTGCCTCCCATATGCCAAAAATTCAGTGTAAAAGTAGCAAGTAAATCCAGGTGACTCACAGATATGACTCTTGGGAGGTAGCTTGGCGCAAAAGTGATTGGGTTAGAGCATCAGAAAAAGTCCACCTGGTCTCCTGCTTTTGTCAACAGCAGGACTGTTGTCATTGCTCTAAGCATAGAAGTTCCCTGCAAGTCCTAACTACCAGGTTTCATGGTGAACACCATGCTCTTGGCTCTTAGTAACTTTGTAGGGATGTGTGTATGCATGGTCACAGTCAATTATCAGATAATCCATGACTGAGGTGGAAAAGCAAGTTGGATGCTGGGTGTTTTCCTCCTGTTGTGTAGCACCTCAGCAGTGCTCTGTTCATCATTCTGTCTCACAACTGGAA